ATGCAAATTTGGTAATTATCATAGAAGCCAGTGAGTCATTTGTTTTGACACTAATAGGTAGTTCCTGGAGCAGCAATGCAGGAGTAAACTACATTGAACAGTCAACTATAAGAAATGGGTCAGACAGAGACGGTTTTGGTAAAGATGGATGATGTAAAATGAAGGGCAAAGTTAGGTAAGGTAGACAAAACCTTCAGTGGACTCTTATGACCACTGCTTTCCATCTACCAAATCCATCCATCCATCCATCCATCCATCCATCCATCCATCCATCCATCCATCCAGGGAAGGGGTTACTCCCTTGCAGTGGTCCTCATTTTTGATCAACCAAACTCCACAAGCCTTCAAAGAGGCAGTAACTTAACAGTGGGGAAAAGGCAAAGCTGTGGTTGGTCACCTGGCAGCTAGATGTCATTCATGGGCATGAAGTTTTTGTTGGGAAGCTGGTTCTTAAAGAAGGGATAGGTTGGCATCACCACTTAGCTTTCACCCAGGAAATGCATCAAAAGCATATCCTTCCTGTTGTTTTACTGAAAACCTCAACTCAGGGGAGGAATGAACTAAGCCATAAGTTGTCTTCAAGAAGGAAGGCGTCTGCGGCTGAACTGATGAATAAGGTTAGAAGAGGGAACATTCCTGGAGGTGGTGATGAACCCCGATCTACTCCTGAAAGGAGGCACATCCTACTTTTGCTGAACAAAGAACAGCATTGAGTAATTCTAAGCCAATCACAAATACTGCCAAAATGCTAAATGTCACTACACAGAGAAGGGCTTCAGGGGAGGTAGGATGAGTAAAAGCCTAGTCACACTGAATAGTCTTGAGTTGCTGACAGTGCACTGCGTGTATTTGACTCAGGGTCTACATTGCCCAGGTTGGTCTCAAAATTCTTGGGTTTAAGTGATTCTCTTGCCTCACAGTATCCTGAGTGGCAAGAGCTATTAATGTGTGCCACTCCTCCAGGTTGCTTTTCTTTTTTAAATATATTTTCTTCTTTTAAATTTCATGTGTATGAGTGCACTGCCTGCACATATGTGAGTGTACCTCTGTTGTGCAATGCTGTGGAGGTCAGAAGAGGGCACTGGATCCTCTGGAACTGGAGTTAGGATGGTTGTTAGCTACATGTGGGTGCTGGAAATTGAACTCAGGTCCTCTGCAAGAGCAGCCAGTGCTTTTAACCACTGAGCCATCTCTCCAGCCCCTGGTTTTCATCTTTAACATGAGTCTAATTCTAGTTCTATCCCTGACTAGGTGTGGCACTGAACGAGTTCCTTAAGATCACTGAGACTTATTTTCTCCATTTCTAAAGGATTGATCTGGGAGCTATGGTTGTGGCTCAGTGGTGGAGTGTAACTTTAGTGTCATAGAGGCCCTGGGTTCAATCCTCAGTACCCAAAGGAAAAAAAAAGTGATTGTAATAACTTGCACCACATCTATTTCACAGAGAATGTGAGAATCAACTGACACAACATATGTGAAACACTTGGTAGATTACAAAGTGTTTTAGAAATGTTAATTATTATTAAGTGTGATTCTGTTACAGCTGGGACCAAATGTGTTCAGGAACATATTTGTAATTGTTTACTGAAAGCCATGGGAAGGGATGAGGGAATTCCCTTAATGAAAAACTGTTTCAGAACAAGTTTTACAGGAAATAGCTTTCCACTGGGGGTGGTGAATCTGTCTATACCCCACAAACCTAGGCAGGTGCTCTGTGTCATGGAGTAGGCAGCATAGACACCTGCTGGGGACCAGTACCTTCTTCCTGCACTTGTACAAAGAGCACTCTGTCAATTCAGCAGCCCACTTGCCAGGGCATTGGGGGTGGGGATGACCGAGACAGCCAGGACTCTGAGATTGACAGCCCAGGGCTCCAAGCTCAGTGCCAAGTGATGATACATTATGCAGGCTGAGCGTGCTCTTGAAGCCTCTCTTGGTTATAAATAATAACAGCTATTACTTTTTATAGTGTTCTTGTCATGGGCTAGGAAATACATTAAGCATTTATCTTATCCACTCTTAATAATTAGCTCATGAGATGTCCAATTTACACAAGGGGAAACAAGGGTCACAGAGGCTAAGGGATGGAAGTAGGGAGTAGACCCAGGATGTAAAAAAGTCTGTCTGGCTCCGTGTGGCTAGACAGCCTCCCAGGTCTTTCCTAGTTCTAATAATGACGTCACAGGCCAAGAACATTTTGTAGTTTCCCAAGCCTATACATGTAGTGGTTAAAGAACAAGCTCAAGGTCTTCTGCCTGGGCTCTGATCAGACTTCTCTAACTTCTACTGTGAGCCCTTGGAGCAGTCACTTAATTTGAGATTCTATTCCCTCTGTGCTATGGGAGGAAGTTGTATCTAATAGGGCTATTGTGAGAATTATGTAAGTTGATGCTCTTGGCACAGTGAGGGCTCATTGAAGGTTCCTTTCCTATGAGATTTCCGTTTGGTCAGTGGTGTGAGGCGTCTTCCCCCTCTGAAACAGTGGTTTCACATGATGCACTTCTGGGAGGCTGGGACTCCTTAAGCGGCAGTGAGGGATGCCTGGAGAGTATGGGTTCTGGGGCTCCCAGCAGCTCCATCATAGAGCAGAATTTCCTTTATCTCCTCAGTATTTTAGAATTCTCGAAGATATTATTTAAAAAGAGAAGCTTTCTGGTTAATTTCTAGGACACGAAATTAATGCATTCAGACCCTAACATGTGCTCATTCTCCATTTTTTTCCATCATCTTCTAACAATAATCCCTGAAGGAAGACCAGGGAGAACAGTAGCAGGATAATGGGCACTGTCCCATTTCTACTCTCCCCACCCTTTAGATCAGCTGGTGCAAGAAAACCTCAGGTAAGGGCTGGCAAGATGGCTCAGTGGGTAAAGGTGCTTATCCTGAAAGCCTGGAGACCTGAGTTCAACTCTTGAACCCATATAAAAGTGGAAAGAGAGAACCGACTCCACAAAGTTGTCCTCTGAGCTCCACATGTACTTTTCGGGCATGTACTCCACCCTTTACTTGGTGCACACACACACACTAATTAAAAAACATACAAAAACAAGACAGACAAACAAAGCACCCTCAGGTGATCTTGTTAAAGCTCCAATGTCTGATAGCTTTGTGCTAAGTCTAGAGCTCTCCTGATTTCCATACAAGTGGCCAGAACCTTACCCTTTCAGAAACACTCTTTATGAAAAATCACAAAATTCAATTAAAAAAAAAAGAAAAGAAACACTCTTCCATGCATACGTGGGTGGGTACTTCTCTCTAAAAAGCCTTTTAAAACTCCAACCCAAACCAAGGAAATCGTGACAACTCATGGCTGCTGGGAGGGGCAGAGACAGTCTAGGAGTCTAGGATGGGACTCTTGGTAGGTTAGCCAGGCTTCAGTGGATGAATCCACACTGAGGGACATCTGGGAGACACTAATTAGACTCCATAGACCTTGTTATATATATGATAGACTACATTAAATTGGGTGGGGGACAATAAGAGGAAGTGTGGACAGAGGAGGGGATCTAATACCATCAAATTATATTGCACGAAAGTCACAGTTTTAAAAAAAGTTAATGAAAGCATTATAAGGAAAATCTTACATGGGCCCTGTATGTAAAAAACACACCAAAGTCGAGTCACAAGGGCAGTGAAGGCTTTAAGGAAGGAGCACTGCTTCAATTAGGCTTTGAGTTGTCCCCAAGGAGAGTCCACAGTGCCTCCTTGTGGACTCTCTGATCAACTGGAATGGTAGTGTTGCTAAGGAACATACATTTGCTATAATAAAATCTAACCTTATCTTGGTCTCATGATACAACCCCCATGTATACCAAAACCAGACTGCACACTCCTTGATGCTAGAAACTGTCTCCATGCCTCATCGTTTTCCCGATCCATTGTTAGGGACGTTAGGGACATGGTAAGTCCCTCAGACATACTGACTGAATTAACCAATGAGTCCCAGTTCACACCACCCCCACCACCAAAACTCATGCAGTCTGGGACTGGACTTGGATCTTCCTTGTTTCAATTATCTTGGAGTGTTTGTGTTATCGTTTCTTATCCAAGTTTCACTGCCACAAGAGACTCTTGTCTACTTTGTGAACCCAGATCTCGTAGATGATTTTGTTAATCGTGTCTAGTTTCTTTGTTGAACTCTGTGTTCTTTCTCTTTTTCCTGCTCTTCTGAGGCAGGGTCTCCCTACATAGTCCAGACTGCACTTAGGGATTGGTAAAACTGATTTTTTTTTTAATTTAATTTTATTTTTTTTGTCTTTTTGAGACAGAGTCTCTCTGTAGCCCCAGCTGGCCTGGAACTCGATATGTAGACCAGGCTGAGATCTGCCTGCCTTTGCTTTCCAAGTGCTGGGACTAAAGGTGTGGGCCACCACCCTCAGCTTGGTAAAACCGATTTTACAAACGGGGTCTCTGTTGCTTTGTTGGGCTGTGTCCAGGCCTTTGGGGAAGCTGTGGCAGGCAGAGGCAGCACCCTCTGTATTGCAGGTCCATCCGTCTTGAGGATTGGATGGGCTTTGGTTTCTGTGGCCTGGGGAGAGCTGGTAGAGCCAGATGCTGCACCCTCATGGGATGACACCAACTGCCCTAATTCCCAAGTGTGGCTGGGGGTGCAGTGCTGACCATCTACCCCTGTGGATGGCGCCACCTTTCCCCGTAGAGCTTTGAGCTTATGCTGGCAGCTCAGCAGGTTTGGAGCCCCTGCCCCTCAGTTTCTGACATGCCTTTCCAGGACTACTGAGCACTGCTAGGAGAAGATCAGAGAGCTCAGCCCCTAGAAGAAGTCTGGTCCCTGGCCTGCTGCTCTCACTCTGAGGGTGGCTCCTATCAGTCCAGACTTCAGAGCACAGGCCTTCCCCAAACTGCCTCACTGCAACTCCACAGCTGTAGCTTGTGAACAACAGTCACCTTGTCTGAGGAGACAGGGCTGTGTCGTGGCATTGTCTCCTGACACTCAGGGGCAGCAGAAGCTTCTGGCAAGTCAGGTCCTGAGTGCTCCTTACCTCAAACTGGATCAGCACTGTGCCACTTTCCAGGCCTTTCTTTAGCAGCTCCATGGATCCCTCCAGAGTGTCCCCACCCTCGGGGCATGCGGAGAACATGGCCTCTGGGAATAGCTGGCTCAGCTCATCTTCAGATCTGATCTCTGCCAGTGAGCGCACAGCTGGAAGAAACAGGATAGGGTACCCCTGGTCACTCCATTTAGTGTGGGGTCAGGGGTGTCTATAAGCCTCATTAAATAATCAAACAGGTGGGCATCACTCTCCACCTTATATGCTGAGACAGAGTCTCTCACTTGAACCTAGAGTTACTGAATGGGCTAGGCTAGCCAGCCAGCTTGTTCTGAGAATCTTATCTCTGCCTCTCATGTGCCAGGATTACAGGCAGTCCCTTACACCCACCCAGCTTTTTACATGGGTGGTGGAGCTCTGAACTCTAGTTCTCACTACCTCCTGAGCCATCTCCCCTACCTGACCCTCTCCTTTCCAACCTTGCATGATATGTCAACCTCATGTGCCTCATCAACTCTCATTTCCTTTTCCTAAAACTTGAAACTTTGGGATCATTACTGATTCTCCCCTTTAACTCAGAAAGGGAAGGTGCTCCCTCACTCAAAACTCTTCTATAGCTCCCTACTTTCAAGATAACCAGAAAGGAGAAGGTAACTAAATAACTGAATTTCCCCATATAGCAGAATTGAATCCTCACAATTCTGTGTCAACTGTTTTTCCTTCCAGCCCACAGATGAGTGGGTCCAAAGTCACCCAGGTTGTCAGGGCAGGCAGGACAAGGGAATTCAGTCCCTATCTTCATCTGACTTTGAAGACCTTGTGCTATGTGATTTCTACCATATTTATAAGCCCTTATGTTACTATTGACTTGTTTTTCTTTAAATCAATTGATATTTTTCACTTACATGTTGAAGTTGCAAATAATAACTTATAATAACAAATAAATTAGAGTTGCTAGAAAACTGGTGACCTCTAATAGTTCATGTTGGGTTTTCCTTACTTCCAGAGGACACCAGTCCCTTGCTATAGTCAGCAGAAGTGGCCTTTTCTGAAAGCCAGAACACCCAGGGTGTGTCATTGGGTGGAAGCCTGCTCTTATCAGCACTGACTCCCTTGGCCCTATCAATGTGTGGTAATACTAATCACATGGCAGTGGGGCACCTGTTTTTCCCCCTTTGTGACTTTGTTTCCTCACTTCTCCATACGGGGATGAAAATAATTGTCACTCTGGAGACTCATGAAGGTTGAAAGGGATGATGCTGCAAAGCAGTCAGCACAAAGCACATTTTCCCTCGTGTGTCCTGTCACTGCTGAACACCCACCGAGCATCTGAGGTGCAACAGGCTGCTGGTTTCGTGGGGTGGGGTGGGGCTGGACAGGGATGGTTGGAACTCACATAATGGAGAAAGAGAACAGACTCTCGCAGGTTGTCCTCTGACCTCTGTGTAAATGTATACGCACCCAGGCATGCACATACACAATAAAATGAATGGATAGCCATAGTCTAAAAATTGAAAGTATGCAGGAGCACCTGGCTTATTATATTAAAACAACAAGAGTAATAATAATGATACTCAGTAGGTCTTTCCTTTACATACCTAGGGCACATCTGGTACTTCCCCACATCCTCAGTGCTCTGAGTATGCCATTTAATCTGCACAAGAGCCCCTGAGATTAGCCTATCTATGCTCATGTTATATCTGAGGGAATTTTAACATAGGCTGGGTGACTTGTAGATCCCTCATAGTGGGTGGAGGTGGAGTCAGACTCTGGCCCTCTGATCTTAGCTGCCTCTCTGACAAAGTCAAATACACACAAAGAAAATAGGACCCCACCAACTGCCTACAGGGCCAGGCAGCTAAGAATAGGATACATGCTAGCTAGGCCAGGGCTGATGGAATTAGAGGGCTCCAGATCTGTGTAAAGGGGGAACCGGGGCTGTCTCTCTCCAGAGACCCGGCA